TAGTTCTGGAAAAAGTGCTTTTATTTTGAAATAAATCATGCTTGCAGAAATAGATTAAAAAATCAATGACTTAAAGAGCAAGTCACCCCCAAATCAACTTTTTTTTGCTGATAAACTAAATAAACAAGTGTCTAATCGTGCTGCAGACACGTGTAGTCAATAATTTGGCATTTCAGTGCATCTTAATTAAAATTAAAAATTTCTGCCTAAAACTGGCAGTGTTGTGCCGTTGTCAGGTAAAAACTATGCACTGTATTTGAATTTAAATCTGCCACCGCTATTGGCTAAGAGGTATGCTATGATGTAAACTGGTACATTATGATGTCACAATGCTGTCGTGAACCTGTGTGTGTGTGTTTGTTAGCGGATCCGCCCTCTCGGTCTGCCAGGCAACGGCATTTGTTGCATTTTTCAAACATGAAGTGGGAGTGGAGTTAGACTCTGGTAGGGGGTGACTTGCTCTTTAATAAAACACCCAGAGCGGCAACAGAATAAAGTCTAGTGTCTTATATTATCATTGTTAGCATTGAGAGATAACAGCTAAAGATGCAATGGCTACGCAAATCGTGGTGGCGAGGAAACAAATGGTTACCATGGAAACCATATGGGGTTCTTCTCTTTACCTAGAATATAAAGATACCTCAGTTATAACAATCTCAAGAGAGTCTCAAATGGCTGAGTGACACACACACACACACACACACACACACACACACACACACACACACACACACACACACACACACACACACACACACACACACACACACACACACACACACACACACACACACAGAAACTCATAGAAAGCATGCTAGAGCAGGTTTCAAAAAGCATTCTTTATTTACACCGTGCGGCTTGAAGAGGCCGGCGGCTTCTGGGATCAAACAGTCTTTAATGAAATCACAAAGCAAAAACTCAAGTAAGCATCTGATGTTTGTTTATTGGCCTAGGATTGTCAGGACATAATGCAACGTCTCCAGTGCTCAACAACGTTCATCGTACATTTATTTGTGACATGTGCAGCACAGAGTATAAATGTGAATATGGAAGAAAAGACGAGGAGTCGTACCAAAGAAAGAGGCAGATTTGACGAGTTTTCAGGACATTTTGAAGTTTTTTTTCACGCTTCTTTCGGAGGTTTATGCAGGCTCAAAAACACACCCGCTGACATGAATGGAGGACCATAACAAAAAGAAAATATGTTCAGTTTTCTCATGTTTTCTTCTCACCCTGGCGCTTTCACATTTAATTACCAAAGCGATTGTTTTCTCAGCTATAATACAATGCATACAAGAACTTCTTTACATTAAAACATCAGGTACATCTGCAATGTTCAAATATTCGACCCAATTAACAAAATATGTACAGTAACAATACCAAATTTTACCAACAATAAAAGCATTTGTTCTAATAGTCCCGGCTCCGGCTGTGTGGTGGAGGCTGAGGGAATTTTGTGCATCTGTGGCACAAACGTTTATTTACAGTGATGAAAAAATACAGACAGAACACGAGTGCGCCAGAAACACAACGTTCATCGGTGAAGGTCTCTGAGGCTGTCATTCATAAATTAGATCCTTTTCCTCTTTTCATGTTTTTTTCTTGACATGTTCTCTTGTTTTATGTTGATTGGCTGGTGCAACACTGCCTCCGTGTGGCCTGAAGCACACACTACAGCTGTCTGAAGCTTCACATCCTTCTGGTTTCAAAAGGGACAACTTGCTCTGGTCCTATTGCACAATCTATCTTCCAGCGATGGAGACATACACATTTCAGTTTTAAAACGTCAGTTTTTTTTCTTGTTGTACCCCCCCCCCCACCCCCACCCCCAAACTGGTGGCAAAAAAGTCCAAACTACTGTACAGTGTCACGTTTTAAACGAATACGCTTCATCAATAAAACGAGGATGAGCATATTTGTAAAAGAAAAGACGTAAATCAGGACCAACACCTGGTGGCAGCTTTGGCTGAAAAAGTAAACCAACAATAGCAAATAATAATAATAATAATAATAATAATAATAATAATAAACAACTACAGCTACAGGTATTCATTGTTTGTATTAAAAGGAACTTTTAAACCCACATGTTTCGTCTGACAGGGCTCAGATGCCCAACATTTATATATATATTTAGTTAATTAATGTGGATATTTCTTTTAAAAAACACAAACATTTTCTGTCGTTTTAATAAATAAAAATAGAAAACCACAGGAGCAGTTTTAGCGTTGGCGTCTGCTGTGCGAGTTCAGCTCCTCTCCTGTCATAGTTTCCCTAAGTGAAAGAGAACTTGGCAAACGATGGCGACCACTCCTGTGTTGAGCACCGAGGAAATGGAGATGTCCAACAATCTGCTTTCGTACAAAACAAACTCGGTCTTGTTCTCGTCCACCTTAGCCATGGCCAGCAGACCTTTAGCTGCTCTCGACATCATGTTTACACTGGGGGGGCCCAAAGGAGCGGGCCCCATGTGCAGCAAACTGTGAGGGTTCTGCTGATACTGCGCCATGCTGACTCCGTCCTCCAAGAAGGCTACCAAATTACCCACGCTGCCCTTCTGCAAGGCGATGACCCGTGCTGCTGTTGGGTCTCCCTGTGCCAGGTGGGAGAGAACAGCCACAGCCATCTCTCTGTACACCTGTGCCTTCCTCTGACCCACGTAGCGCACCAAGACTGCAAAAAGTTTCTCTTGCCTGCTAAAAGGCGGCGTGGCCAGCAGGAGGTCCACGTTTCCATCCTGGATGCTCAGCTTGCAGAGGCACTCGAGCACCAGCCTTTGAGGAGTGAGCTGGGAATGTGACGGCGCTGACGGGAAGGGATCCCGGGCTTCAGTAGAGGGGCAAACCATCCAGTGGAGAAGGCCATCCAGGATGGGGAGGCAGATGGTGTCTGGATAGGCTGACAGGTCCAGGTGGCCTGCCATGTTGGCGAGTGTGACCATGGCGTTCTCCCTGAGCAGACTCAAACACTCCCACCACCACTCGTCTTTGCTGCTCGACAGCCCCTGCTCCTGCTGCTCATCTCGCTGATAGCTCAGGGGGGACCTGTTCCTCTCCGGGTGCTCATGGTGCAGCAGCAGCAGCCTACCCAGAAGAAGAACCAGCGCAGGGTGGTGTGACATTTCCATGTCATTCCCAGGGATAAAGGAAAGGCTCCGGACGATGTTGGAGACGCAGAGGCACCTCTTGGACAGCGACTCCTGCCAGGCAGAGGTCGTAGAGAGAGGAGCCTCGTCCAGACAGCGGGGCTCATCCTCCAGAAGGGTGATGTGGTTATCCTCCCCGTCGGGATGCACCCGAAAAGGGTAAGACGGCAGGGAGCGTGCAGGATGGGAGTGAGACAGGGCTTCCACCCTGGCACACAAAACATCATCGATAGTTGCAGTTATATGTTTCAGCGCTTTCTGGCCTTTGCCGTCCGCCTGCTTCTCCTGTTTGTTCTCGTTCCTTGTGTTTTTGTGTGCCCGGGCAGGTGGATCGCTCTGCAGTTCAAAGTGCGTCTGGATGTGTGCGGTGGAGTCGCCTCCACCTGCCTGCCAATGCAGCAGCCCACTGGTGAACTCAGTCTGGTAGCCTAGATGCTCGGTCAGGTCCTCCATCAGGTCGTCTTGGTGCACGATCTTGATGGGGAGTTTGTCATATTTGCTGGCTTGTTTAGGTTTAGGCTCTAAATCTGCAGAATGATGGTCCGAAAACTCCTTTTTACTTTCTTTTTCTCTCTCTGACAATTTTAATTCGTTCGTGTCCTCCTTTTTGATGTCTGCATCTACTTCCTGCTGCTTGCCATGCACCTCCGTAGGCTCTGCAGCAACGGGGGGAGCTTCCTTCTCAGTGCTCCCCGTCTGCTCCACCTCCGTTCCTGCTACTACGGAGGCTTCGGATCCAGGTAGGGTGGTCGGACATGTTCCCTGATCAGGGGCAGGCTCCTTTGTTTCATCGGAATCAGAGTCTAAATGGTTTTTAAGAACCATTGTCCCAACCTCAAACTCTTCCAAGATGCCAAAAATCTCAATCAGGCAGCGGCGGAAGTACTCCACAATGAGCTCGAGGAACCCAGGCAACTGGACAGACAATAAATTATTGTGAGTATGTGAGAATAAATCAGATCTGTCGCTGTTTTTTTTTTTTTGGTTAGAGGATGGAAAAAATGGAAAAAAATGCACTAAAACTTAAACTTGTTTAAATTTATCTTGTATAAAAAAAGCTATTATGATGCTGCAACTTGATGCAATACTCAGTCCCGGTGATCTTTCAGGAATGGATGAAAATAGGTTTCAACGGAACATGTAAGTGTGAGGTTTGCAATCTAGAAACATGAACATTTCATTCTTTTTTACAGTCACAATGTTCTGAATCCTTTGGGCATAAAACTCCTGCATGGTTTAAATCAGTTCAATCGATGAATGAATTAATAAACGTTGGTTTTACCTGGGAGAGGTTGAAAGAGGCCACTGTGCTGTCGTCATACAGAAGGATGTTGATGGTGTCCAAAGCCCAAGTGCTCTCTGCCAGCAGGCCAGACTTAAGTGACATCATCACACGCCAGGCTTCGGGTGTTCCTGGGGTTAAAGCGTTACATTTTCACCATATCATGAACACGGGGTTATAATTTACCAAAAGCTTCAAAGGTACAATATGTAAGAATTTTTCAGTGAAAAAAACGTTACATTGACGTAGATTTCTCCTACGGGGCATACCTCACACCTGGTTTGCTGTACAGTGATCCCTCGTTTATCGCGGTAAATGCGTTCCAGACCTGGCCGCGATAGGTGAAAATCCGCGAAGTAGGGACACCATATTTACAGTATTTATTTAACAGGTACGTATTCAGACTTTTAAAACCCTCCCTTTACATAGAAAAAAATTCTCTAGCTCCAAGCTCATAGAAACTTTGAAACCTCGTCTTGTCTAGTAACTTTTGGAACTCGTTTTAATCTGAACTCGTTGTGTTTTGATACCTACCTTCAGACTCGCTTCTCCTCCAGATTCGCTCCCGTCTTGGAGACTTCTGGATACTCACCGGTTCGCTGCCTGGATACCAACTCCGCTCTGCCGTCCCGCTCTCCACCGTGCTCACGCTCCCTCTCCGTTACCTCGTCCTCCTCGTCCGTCTACCCTGCCGCATTGTAAGTTCTGCCTACAATTCTCTCTATGAACTACAACTCCCGTTACTCACCTCTGGTTCTTCTCAGTTGCCGCTTCCTGGTTTACCCTCCGCTGGATCACCAGTGCGCCCTCAGTTCTCCTCACCATTAAAGAAATAAAATTATTGTTTATCTTTTACCTCGACTCGAGTCTGATTCTGTACGTCTTGGGTTAGACACTTACCCCAAAACATGACAGAAAAATACCGCGAATCGGTGAAAAATACCGCGAATCGGCGAATTTCCCTTGAATAAGGCTCCAAAGAAAAAATCTGCGAAGTCGTGAATCCACGATAAACGAACCGCGAAGTAGCGAGGGATCACTGTACTGGTGTAACTAAACTTCTTTTAAGGTTATTTTACCACTATTTAAAAATATTATCCCTCGCTCCATTTCTTTTAACCCTCCCATTGTCCTAATGGGTGACCCCGTAAAGAAAGTTGACCATGGAGCAGGATTGATGGTTTATCCCTTGAGGTCCACGTGGCAGGAGTGAGCACCACCTCACCCCTGCCACGTGGACCTCAAGGGATAAACCATCAATCCTGCTCCATGGTCAACTTTCTTTGCGGGGTCACCCATTAGGACCATGGGAGGGTTAAAAATATTGATCTCAGAGCTCTCTCTGCCATTACAAACCTGCGTGGTGGTGATTGCTCATCTCCTGATGACCTACTCTCCCATTATGATGATGAATTATGGATTATCTTTGACGACCTGGCTTCTCTTAAAACACGAATAGTTTCTTTATCTAACTCTGCTCCGTGGTATACAGCTAACTTATGCCAACTAAAACGTGAAGGCCGTCGTCTGGAGAGACTGTGCAGGAAAACAAAACTACATAGCTATTAGGATTTATACCATCTCCATTTGCTAAAGTATAAGGAGGAAGTCGCTAAAGCTAAATCTACTATGCCACTCAAATTGGCGCAGCAAATGGTAACTCAAGGACACTATTTAATACTTAAAATAGACCGATTAACCCTTAAAATATCCTTAACTATCATTTTAATTCAAATGACAATTGCAGCCAACATATGGACTTTCTCTACTCTAAGATTGGTAACATTCATTCACAACTTATTCAATGTAATGATGTTCATTGCCATCAGACATCCGTGTGGCCACTCCTATCACCCAGTTTAAATCACTACTGAAAACTCATTTATTCAGGCAGGCTTTGTCGTATACCCAATGCAACCGCAAACATTTGCTTGACTATGTACTTCCTACTGTTATATTATGTAGATGTTAACTAATGTGTTAATGTGCAATGTATATCTTAATGATAATGATCTACTGATTGATTATTTATGAATTTTCTGTTGATAAGTTTAACTTGAATTCTTAGTTTAATATTTTAGCATTTTACTGTTAGTCATTTTTAACTTGTGTCAGTTTAACTGCTTGGTTTGTATTTTTGTGTTTTAACCTGTATTGTGTAATTTCTGTTAAAGTGACCTTGAGAGTCCTGAAAGGCGCTTACAAATAAAATTTATTATTATTAGGGATGAGCGAGTACACCACTATCTGTATCTGTTCAACCATCTAAATTATCTGTATCTGTATCTGTACTCGGAGTGGGCGTGGCCTAACCCGGAAGTGGGTGTAGTTTGACCGGAAGTGGGTGTGGTTTACATCAATACGTTATATTAAGTATGATCAGAAGTTGCTATGTGTATTGTTTATTTGAAAACTATTTACAGAGCAGCCTCAGAGTTGAGATTAAATGTTTTTGATCACAATAGTAAAGGAAAGGAATAAGTTTTTCAATAAAATCAGAACATTAATATTTAAGTGCATGAATTAAGAGAGAGAGAGAAGAAAAGATCTTTTCTATAGCGCCTCGCAAGATAAAAATCACGAGGCGCTTCACAAAAACAAAACATGTAAAATAGAAAAAAGAATTTAGAAAATGATTAAAATATATTTAAAATGAGCAAAAAATAGACAATTGTGATTTAAAAATGTAAAGAAAGAGAGAGAGTGAATAGGAAAGAGGGAATGGATCCTGAGGAAGAGGAGAGAGAGAGAGGAGAAAAAAAAACCAACCGGAGCGGAGGCAGTGAGTGACGCAGCATGAGCCGTTTTCAGCTCTGTCTTGTCAAATGCACAACGTACGTTATGAAAAAAGTAACTTTAAATAACTTTAAAGTAACTTTAAAAAGAAGCAAACTGAAGAAAACATGGGGAGTACTGAAGAAACGTGAACAGTGAAGCAAGCACAGAGAGATCCGTTACTGTCTGCGTGTGTGCGTAGATGGACCGGACGCGGAGCTGTGAGCTCCCGGCTGCAGAGTTTTGTGTGTAGGGAGGGGTGGGCACTCTATTTGACTGGCCAATCACAGAGCGTGAAGACAGTCAGTTACCCAATGAGGATTTTCCTTCAGCACGATTACAGATATTTACGAGTTTTACTCGTTTCATGCTCATACTCGTCAAAAATGCTTTATCCGTACCGGATACTCGTCTGAAACGAGTATCCGGCTCATCCCTAATTATTATTATCATTATAATTTCCTTCTCAGCTGGCTGGGAGGTTGTCCATTTTTCTCCTTTCATGAAGGCTGAAGAGGGATGTAGTCTTTTTTTTTACAATCAGTGAGCCAGCGGAGTTGCAGAGTCTGCACCAGCTATAACGCTGCTGCACCGGCATTTGTAATTAGACACCAACCAGCAGCAGCATTTTGTAAAGATCCTAAGCCAGTGACAGGAGCGACCCAGAAGTTACTTCTTGTACCCCTAAGAAGCCACGGTATCTTTTTGTTTTACTCTAATATCGGGAAAAGAAGGCTAGAGGCTAATGTTAAGTAGGGTTGCAAGCATTAACCGGTTTGACTATTAACCTTAGTTAACCTACTGTAAAGATGTCTCCAACACCACTAATAAACAGCAAAAAGACAATGGTGCGACCTGCACGGACCAAGACAAAAGTGAAACTGAACGCGTGCACGCAGCAGAAGCAGACCCAGTGACAACAACCATCAGGCCGAGGTTAATGGTGAAACCAGTTGCAACCGCAACGTTGAGCCAACAATGCTGATGAAAAATTAGTTGGCTCTAAAAACATCTGAAGCTACTTTTTCAATTACCAACAAATCGATATGACAGTCCAAAGTGGTTTGAATGAAGGCATCTGGACTTCTTTGGATTCTTGACGACGTTTTGCTTCTCATCCTTGGAGCTTTGTCAATTTGACTGGAATATGGGAGAGACAAAGTACATTTTTATGGACAGAGAAGATAAATAGTTTGAGAGAGGAGAAAAGGAATCTATCTATCAACGTCAAAAGGGAAAGACCTATGGTAAACAGGAAGAGGCCACCGGTTTCATCTTTCCAGCACCTGCAATGCAGCACTAAACCGAATTCCAAAACAGTTTCAGTCCAGGGCTTACCCTCCTGCACCTAATCAAAACAACATTCCCACACAATACACCCTAACAACTTCAATGACTCCTCAGGTGGTAGGGAGGAGGAGTTTTCATAAGTAGTCTCAACTCGTTAAGCAACAACAGACAGCTACAATTTACAAGCTTGACCCTCCCATATTCCAGTCTGAATGAACAAAGCTCCTCGAAAAAGAAGTGAAAAGTTTTCAAGAAACCAAAGAAGTCTAGTTGCCTCCATTCAAACCCCTTTGGACAGCCATGACTTGGATGTCTGAGAACCGTCACCAGCATACGGTGAATTGTATGTATTTACTATTATGACTCATCTTTGCTCGCCATCTAGAATCTTCTGGTGCTGAGCCGTAGCTGACAACAGCCAGGAAACCCATAAAACAGTAGTGAGAAAGCGACTTGTGTGTTTTGAAAAATGAGCTGCAGTACCAATATTTGACCACAGGATGTCACTCTTATATAATGCACCTTTAAAGTGAAAAATCTATTTTCCAGCCTGCCTCCAGGAACGGTTGACTCATTTAACTCGGTCTTACCACAGTCCTTAGAGTTGAGCTTGCGTCGAGGCTTGAGAATCGGCATGGTGGACTCCACGCACCCTGGCGGATAATTCAGGTCCCTCCTCAGGTTAGGAGGAAACTGACCAATGGGCCCACTTCCCTGTGAGCCCATCATAGCCAGTCCGGGCTTAGGCATCTTCATGGGAGACATGAACGAGGCTTTACTGGGGGACATTCGAGGGTCCATTGAGCGTTGGAAGGGCCCTGGGCTGGGGGCTCTGGGCAGATGATTGACCATGGATGGGGAGTTGGAATAAGATGATGGTTGACGTGACGACAAAGGGGGCATGCCGCCTGATGAAGACAGGTAGGGAGACTGGCGGTGCCACTGGTCCTGGCCGGGCCGTCCGTCCATGTCATCTCTGAAAATGGAGCCATACGGCGGTATTTGCGACGGCGGACCTTGTCTGTTGTGGTAGGGATAGCCGAGGTCCGTTCTTGAAGGCCACATATTAGGCCCATCAGCAGCGTGATTAGGAGTAGGAGCCCCGCCCATCATTGTGTGCTGGTTCTGGCCCGATGGGCCCATACGATCTCGGTGGTAGGGGTAAGGGAACTGTCCCTGAATCGGCCTGTGTTCCGGACCCGAGTAGCCACTGCTGTAGTGATTATACGCGTCTGGCTGCTGGTTGGTGTACTGCACGGCGTACATGTCACCCTCGTGTCTCTTGGGCGGGGGTCCGTACATCCCATCCATCTGCCGCTTGTAGCCCTGATGGAGTTAAGATGTTCTTAATGACATGGGACATGCATTCTTATGGTTCCATAAATCACAATCATTCACTTTTCTCAAACTAGCGACGCTACTTTTATCTCACCGGTAGACTAGACGCTGCCTTCACTCTCATTTCAAGCACAGACGTTATATAAGAATGTGAAAAAACCCAATAAATCAGCTGGTATTTATTCATCCTGTGTGATCTGTGTACTAAATTATGGTGTCAGTAAAAGTAATTTTCTTATCCGTTGCAGTTCTCAGGCTGGGTAATGGACGTCAGAAGAGAAATAAAGACGGTTGCTGTGTTTCTGACGTCCCATTACTCTTTTCTAATCTGTAGGCGGATGCTTCGTGTTAAAATCATCAGATATTTTGGTAGAACATCAGGTATCTCAGTATTTCAGCAGATTGCAGACGAATGCTACTGACGAGCTGTTTCTTACCTGTTGTTGTGAGTACATTCCAGACGGAGGCATCCCATATGGCATGCTGGGATACTGTTGGCCGTAACCGTCATGTCTGAACATTAAGATACAATTAACCAATCAGCTGCAAGGAAAACACCTTGGAGGATGTATTCAGAGATGTTATGCTGATCTGACCTCTGCTGTGATGGGTATCTGCTGGGAGAGTACATGCTGCCTTCGCTGTTCGAGTGTCCCATGTTGTTCTGACTTCCAGGGGGACCCATGGTCCCTTCCATCCCCATCATATGATCCGGTCTACGGATTAATAAGAACAGCCTTAAGAATAACAGCTTTTTTGATGGGGAACATTTAGCAGATGTTTATCTCTGTCTCTTGGAGCTGGACGGCCCTACCTCCTGTCATAGCTTGGCCCGTATGGATACTGTGACCTCTGACTCATACTCAGGCCCGACGGCGGACGTCCATACATGTCCGCCATGCCTCCGCTGGGCATCTGGCTCGGTATATAGGGATCCGCTCCGGCCACTGCACAAAAAGTAAGGAGCTGAAATCATTTCCAGAGCGAGGCTGAGGTTGGCGTCTGAAACGCTGCCTCACCAGCAGGTGGCAGCACAGCTCTATGAATTTCCCCGCTGCTCTGAGCAGCCCTTTTGTTTCCACTCTGTTGTTATGCAGCCACCATCCACCATATTACACATTCAGGCTTCATTCCCCAAACCTTCAGACGAGCTGCTGTTGTTTCTAAAACTGCTGTTTGTTCTGAAAACTAAACCACACGACTCGGTCCAAACAGGTGCATCTCAGCGGGGTGGGGAGGATGAAATGTTGGCGGTGAAAAGGATGAGAGGAATAAAGATGAGACGAAGGCTAAGCTACCAGGAGATCAGAAGAGCTGGCGTGTTTTTGATAGATAGCCGTGTGGCGTAACAAACACCTTCTTCTCTCCTTTCATAGTTTTAGTAAAACGCACCAACATCTGTCCTGATCTGAGTCCACATGGTGGTTTGACAACAAATTAGACCCGCGAGACAGATGAAAGGACAACAGCTTTGGGACATATTTGGAGGAAGGAGCCGTGGGAGTTTAAATTAAGTTAGAAGATTTAAAATAACAGAAATGACCATTTTTATTTTGCCTACGGACGAAAAAGACAAAACAGGTGCCGAAGCCAGTGCCTCACTCACTCTTCCTCATCCCTGCAAAGGGGTCCTTGGCGTCGTACTGCATCCTCATCATCATGTCAGGCATGCTGAGGCCCGGCTGATAGGGAGCTGAGGGGGGCAGGCTGGAGGTCCGCTTCTGAAAGGCTGGGTCGTTCACCTCTGAGAAGGGGTCCTGCACGCTCACGCTGCTCCTGGATGAGGAGGAGGACGTGGAGTCAGGAGAGATGGAGCAAAGACACGGAAAACATGGCGGCAATTTCACTCAATGATTTTAATTCAGAGGAAAATTAACTAATTTAACATTTAATTGTTTCTAAATTAAATAGAGCGACGATTGAGGACTCCTCATGCTTCTTAGCCAGTGAAACGGTCTCATGAAGTGTAGTGTTCATGCAGAATATTCATTCTAAATTCATGTCACTGCACCATATGATTGTTGTTTACATGCGTCTTGTTGTTTGTCTCACACCATGTGTCATGTTACGGGCTGAATCACACCTAAAATCAACATTTTCTAACAGAAAGAAAATAAAATTTGATCTGATTCTGTTTCAAACTGTGATTTTAACCCTTAAACTTCAAATCCAAGAAAAAAGCTAATTCATTTCTGAAATTTTTGTTTATTTTAATTAATTTGAAGGCAATATGGGTTATAATATAGTAATAGATATAAATATTAATATATTAAATAGAGTAATGATTATGTAAGAATATGTTTTAGTTTTTCTCCATAGTTATTAGAATTTATTTTACTTTTATGGTTCTTATGATAGTTTTTGTCCTTCAGTTTTTTTTCTAAAAGAATTCAACCTAGTGGTTGACCTGTCAATCAAGGTTTAAAAGAATTTAGATGTGCTCTGTGTGAAATATTTATCTAAAGTAAAATCAATGAGGTGAAATCCTTTTTAACGAGCTGAAGCATCTCGGACCAAAACTTAACTGTAGATTGTTTATAATAAAAATAAAAAAAAGACACAAAAGTCCTTTTCATATCCCTAAAACAGGCTCAAAGGCATTGTTGTGGTTAGACATGAATATTCCTTCTCACATTATATCACAAAAACAAACAAACGACTGTGAGCGTCCTGCCAGGCAGCTGTGGAGGTTTATAATTACAATCAGCAGCGAGAAAGCTCGTGTGTATGTGTGTGTGTGTGTGCCTCATGTCTAAAATCTTTCTGTTTCTAGAGGCCGAACAGGAAGTGGAGCTAAGCTGAGCTGACTCGGTGGTACCTGTTGGGGAGCAGCGGCGTGACTTGTCCCAGCGGGGTGGTGGCAGGTGTGGGGGGTTTCAGGTCACCTGCCGCCTCTGCCATGGAGCTGCTGCCAGATGACTGGGGCGTCTGTGGTCCCTGGAGAGAGCCAGCTGAGTTGGCTGGGAGACAGACGCAGCATTATTACTAAACCTGGACCGCTTCCCTGATTTCTCCCTAAAAAATCTGTTGCGCTTTCCGACCGCGGGGCTCCCCCCACGTCCCTCGCCGCGGTCCTGACGCTGGTTTGACTTTGAGCGGCCAAAGTGGGATTTGACCGCAGCAAGGTGCTGTGTTAGGGAGATAAGTGTGGGCTTAAGTCCAAAGCACTCAGAATGATGCCCGACATGAGAGCAGAGCCCGAACAAACACAGCACACAAGGGCAGGGGAGAGACGGGAACAGAGGGAGTGCGGAAGAGAGAGGGAGGGGAGAGGTGAGGGAAGAGCAGGCAGGAGGAGAGGACGCAGAAAGGGGAAGAGAAGGATTTCTTCTCTTAAGAGGCACAAATTTAACTTTGAAAGGTTTTAACCGCTCTTTATTTGTTGTACCTCAGACTTGATGAGCTCAACAAACATCCACGAAACATGAGTGAAACCCTCCAGAAGCCCAAAAAAAACCCTCATCTCTGCACAACGGGATTCAGACCGGGGTTCAAATTGGGTCTGTGTGCTCTTTTGTTACGACACCACATTCCTGTGAAATCCTCAGTTCAGGTGATTAGGAAAAGATCGGAGCGCCGCACTAAAGAGCCCTGCACACAAAGAACCCCCAACCGGATGAAAACCAAGTGATCCCAGAAATTCCCAGAATGAATGGAAAATGTGAACAGTTCCGACTAAAAGATGACAGAGACAGCGAGCGAACATGAAAGTGTCCTAATGAGCATTTAGCGGAGGGAGCCTTCCTCTGTGGCCTCTCCCTGCGCCACATTTCCTCAGAAAAAAGCCCCCGTAAGACTTCAGCTTTAAGATTTAATGCTAATTCTGAATTATTCAGTGACACCCCCCCACACCGCTACATCACAGGAGACAGAGGAGGAGAAGCAGACAGGGGGAGATGGAGTCCCAGGGTGAGGAGCAGAGGTGAGTAAAAGGGCAAAGATGGGTCAGCGAGCATTAGGGATTCTTCTCTTCCTGGGCTGTCCCGCTGTCAGACCCGATGAATATGCATGCTCGTGCACGCGGGCGGAGGAGGAACAATGGTGGGGTTGGCCAAGGTTAAGAGGTTTACCGGTCTTCAAGAGCAGGAGAGCAGGCGGACGGGCGTGGAACAGAAGAGGAGTGGTGGGATGAAGATGTGGGAGAAGAGGGTGCCCTTTGATCCACAGTTAGCAGAAACAGAAAAAAAAATGACAGAAGAGAGAAATGTGTGCATGTGTGTGTGTGTGTGTGAAAGAGAGAGAGAGAGTGACATAATCCAGAAAGGCGGTAGTGGTTAAAGGGAGGGAGGGGGAGTCGGTCGGTTTTGTGAATGAAAGGTGGCGGTGAGGTCGACTTTGTTTACGTTCTACATTCCAGTCCTCATTAATACCCCCCCCCCCACACACACACACACACACACACACACCAAATAAACACACTCACCCTCCTCACCCCGCCACCCCCCGTGGGCAGTGACATCCCTGAGCTGTCGGTCTATATTTAGGCTGGCGGGGTGTCGAAGGGCGGTTCGTCCAGCGGAGCCCATCAGCTGTCAGATACACGGACGGGACTTTTTTCATCCTTTCAAGCCAATAAAACTCTTACTGATGAGTTTCAAAATCCAATTTCCTCCTGAAGTTTTAGAATTGGATAATTTAAGAAAATACATAAACAAGCACACAACATCTCCCTCTATTAACAGGAAATGACAGATTTATAGCTGTAAACATCAGCAGAGCAACAAGAGGATGAAGCTGCAGCAGCTGACCAATGGGAATGCAGGAACCTCACAGGAGTTTATTACCAGCAACAGCACGTAGGGGGTGGAAAGCAAACAAGTCATAAAATAAACCCAAGATCAGCTTTTGCTTCAGCACATGCACAACGTGGCAAAGAAAAACAAACTCCCGTGATCCGTAAATTGGGAAAAATCTCAACAAGAAGCTCGTGGGGATGTGAACACATGCAGGATGAGCATCTCCGGGTTTTAAAAATATAATCCTTTTTACGCTTCCCCGTTTCAGCGTGCTGAGGCTTTTCCATCGACGCGTTTACGCACGTCTGTGGGTTACGTGGACTCTACGCGTGCACGCGAGGATGCTAATGAAGGCAGATGCTCTCTTCCGCCCTCCTGCAAAAGCAATCTGCAGCGTTTCAGGTAGGTGAAGAGCTCCAGTGTCCTATTTAAAAGCACGGGTCACTTTTCTCATCTCCGCTGCAAATTAGAGACGTGACCTCACCACTCCTTTCCCGTTCACACCGACTTCACCTCATAATTGTGCACAGACACAAACAAAAAGCACCTTTTGTGCTGTGATTTTGCAGCGAAACAATATAACTTAACCTTCTCATTTTGTAATCAAATAAAGGCGAGAGGGGGGTTGGCGGTGCAGGAGGTGCTTGTGTCAGAACTCACCTCTATTAAACCATAAAACATCCCATCAAAACAGATGATTTTCACTCGTTTCTCTTGGGTTTTAAGTGGTGTTAATGTATTTCTGCTGCTGTCTTTTCCACTTATTATGGAATAAGAAATCAAATGTAAGACTTACAAGCCATGCCAGTGAAGGTTTGGGGTCAGATTGCTCCGATTTGAGATTTAAACTGAAGAATGAATCATTTAGTCAGAATTTTGGCCGTACTTAAGGATGCAAACAGCAGCTTTGTTTCTGACACAGCTGCGAGGTTCATAGATGAAATCTGGTTTGATCAACGGCATGTGTTATCTGGCTGCTGACAGATGGGCGAGTCGTTATAACAGGAAGAGAGAGAGAGAGAGGAGAGAAGAAGAGAGCTCTGGTATCGGGACTCACCAGGTGAGGGCGGCTGGATCTTGACCTGCTTCCTGTTGTCCCCATCGGTCGTGCTGCCGCCGCTGTTGCTGTCGGCCGGCGGCTCCTCCCCTCGCTCCATCTTACACTCGTAGGCAAACAGGAACTGGATGTACTGCTTCTTCAGCGTGCTGGCCGAGCTGCTGGAGGTGCCGACGTTGAGGGTGCCGGACAGCTCACGCCACTTCTTGTTCTTGTTTACCTGGATGGGTTTGAGAAACGGACAGGAACTTGACATCGTTGTTTTATTGTCCTTTTGCTATAAAATAATCCTAGAACGTGACACGGTGGTTCCAACAGAAAAGATATTAAAACGTCACGTCTGCGCATGGACAGAATTTGGGGGGTGGGGTGGGGGGCACATGTCCCCCCCCCCCCACCTTTTCCATAGTCAAGTTTTGACCCCTGCACTTTTCAACATCCAAAAACAATATTACGCTACATTACGGAAAACAACCGTTTGTGTTGAAGCCTGTTTCCCATTAGAGCATACTGTAAAGATAACCCCCCCCCCACTTCTAAAGTGAAAATTATGTCCATGCGTCTGCGAGCCCTTTTCAGAAACTTTTAGTGGTTTGAGCGTCTGCCCGTGGTTTCAGGGGGAAACCCTTCTACATTACTAAACAACGTTTAGTAATGTAGAAGGGTTTCCTGAGTGTCCGTCTTCTGAAATTGGTGGTCCACACTTTTATCACTTCAAGGCTGGATTACTCTAACTCCTGCTTATATGGCATCAGTAAAGCAGCTCTTTCTAGACGTCAGCTGGTCCAGAATTCAGCAGCTAGGTTGCTGACTGGAGCTGACAGAAGACAACACATTTCTCCAATTCTGAAATCTCTCCACTGGTTGCCCGTGCAGTTCAGGATAAACTTCAAAATTATGCTTCTGACTTACAAATCCTTGAACCATCAAGCTCCTCCATATCTGTGTGAACTTGTCCATTACTACAACCCGCCGCGTGCTCTCAGGTCTGAAGATAAGCTCCTCCTAGCTGTTCCGAATGCACGTTTAAAAAGCCGTGGAGAAAGGCTTTCTCTGTCTGTGCACCGAAGCTGTGGAACACATTACCACTGCTAGTGAGGCAAGCACCAACAGCTAGCATTTTTAAATCACGCCTGAAAACTCACTACTTCAACCTAGCGTATACAACATAATTATGAACCTCACTTACATCTGCACTGTTTAAAAATGGACTCCACAATTATCGACTTCCGTACTATTGAGGTTCTTTTTAAAATGTTTTTTCCTATTTTTATTCACCCTGTGTCTTATTGATTTTTAGCTGTTATTTTTGGGAATTTTGTTGTATTGCCTTTTTATCTTTTATCTGTGTTCGACATGTTTGTATAACGCCGGTTTAATTAACCAACATTTTTAGTGTACAGCGCCTTGTTTGTTGTAATGCCTTGTGAATGCGCTTTATAAATAAAATTGGATTGGATTGGAACGTTCGTCAAACGGTTCAATTGATTCACACAGAGATGATTTCTCTGATTTTTTCTAGGAAAAAGAATCGACCTGCCAACACCTTTGGGATAAAACGGAGCACCGCATATGAGCCAGAATTTATTTATCGAACCTCTCGACAATTTTCTGCGGTCCAGTTTAAAAATCGCGTGCACGTTTTTTTCCACAGAGGCACACAACTGCCTGTGCCTCCTCTGTAACTCTCAGCCGCCAAACTTGCAACAGGCTGTATGTAAAGCTTGCGTTTTTAAACTTCTCATTCACCTGTTTTTGTCAGTACCCGCGCAGAGGTCTCTAGCGTGAAAGAATGCTGTTTGAGTTGCTTTCTGTGGAAAAAAAAATCTCCGGAGCTCCCGTTTCAGGAAGTGGATATAAGCCAGATGAGTTGTGGGCAGAAAACAACTGGATTATGAGCCTAACTCATTATTATTCATGCTATCTTGCCTCTGATTGGCCAACAGCAACAAGTCTGGAGGAGTTCTGCTGTGTGGGCAGTTTCTGACGCTAACAGCTAGCTTCAGTAGCCGAGACACGCTCTGCTGTTTCGTGGACGCTAAACAAACAATGGACTTCCTGTTTATGAGCCAAGATGGGGGATGGGCGAGTCCATGATGCTAATTTACAGAATGACGTTTTCTAATCCGAGCATTTCCCCGTCTATTTTCTATCAGTAGCTAATGGAGGAAACACGTAGGAGACTATTTTCATGTTCAGCCTGCGTGTGAAACTCAATAACAGGTAAAACATGATCTCAGCTCCAGGGATCGGTAGGAGTTTAATAATTATTTATGCATCAACATTTTCAGCTTCCATATGTCATTTAGCCAGAGTGCACCCTGCTGAACAACAGCAAAACAGTCTGCTAATGATGAAAGTTAGATGTCTTTGCAGCACGGGAGGAGAAGTCACACTGAAATTACTTTTCTGAGGTCTGAAATATGTCTCGTCTTTATTTTGTCCCACATCTCTACTCGAAGCCTGTGCATTACCATGGCGAGGCCTCCAATCTCCCGGACGGCCACGTAGAGCTTCCACAGGTCCAGCGGTTTCTTGCCCACAGCTGGGAGCTGGGAAACAGGTGTGCCCCGCTCCTCCATGAAGGTCAGGTACCGCTCCACCCAGGCCCGCCTCTCCGGCTCTGCACCCAGCTCGAACAGCCGGCTGATTCGCTCGCCGCGGACCGAAGCGGAGTTGGGGTTGACTTTCTGTTGCAGAGAGGTGATGAGAAAGGCAGAGTGAAGAACAGCAGCGCGCCGTACAGCCGGCGGTTTGTTTTCTTGTTCCTGTTTTCTGCCACAACAGCCCTCTCACCCAGTCAAGGCTATTAAAAATTCATCTGTTATTTACACAGTGTGAAGTACACCTCTGGTTGAATGGCCGGGCAAAAATAAACACGTCTTCACAGCTTTTTGTTCGGCGTGCAGCTCGTGTTTGCTTGGAAGTTCATTAAATCCGAACCCACGGACTGAATCAAATAACAAACAACATTCAGGAGGGAAAATGCTCCTTTTCAGTCCTAAAATATTGACAGCAAATCTATTCCATATACTTTCTGTGTTTATTCAGCGAATGCATTAAAGCAGGCATGACTTCTGGTTCTTACGGGGCTGGAGGGAGTCTTGAGAGGCCACGGTGGGCTGCTGATGCTGTCGCTGTCGTCTCCGTGGTAGGAGGACAGGCTGGCGGGGCTGGGGGAGAGGGGGGAGGGCACGGGCAGGGTACCGCCTGGAGTGGCTGGCTGGGACGCACTGCTGCTGTTGTTGTTCATGTAACCATCCTGGAGCTGTTGACATGACATCGGTGACATTTCAGAGAGAAACCTTTTGCTCCACTGCACCTGCTCGCAATCTAGGAGCTACATTTGAAATGTACCAGCCTCTAAAATGTGATGAATGATGAGAGAAGATCGTACATCCAGGAACACTCTGGATTTTTAGGTTTATTTAACAGAAACCAAAGTGAATTAGATCTAGATGTAGTCTGACAACAATCAACCTGGGTTCCATTTGCATGGCATGGGTGATGAAGCTGTTCAAAAGAGTTTTCTAAAGAAAATCAGCCACATTCTGCAGATGCAACAAAGTGACGCAGTGGTTAAAGAGTCTGGAAGCCAAACGGGTCCGCCTACAGTCCAGTTCTGGAACCACATCTGAAGTCTGATTAGACAAAATTACAGCAGAGGAGGCTCATTTTTATAGTTTCTTGCATCTTTGTGCTGTTTTTAAACAAATATAGGCTCACACTGATGTCTTATTCTTCAGTATTAGTGCAGCAAAATCAAAAAATACATGAAATCACAATATTATTGTTGAAAGTCGAGATGAAAATATCAGTGAAACCCACGTTGTGATATGACGATGCATCAAATTAACATGATAATGTTCAGCTGTATATACAATACTCCACTTTGTGTGAATTGCTTCATCCCCGTTAACATGCAAGTTTTCGTGTGAGGTTCTCCAGCATGTGTGAAAGTGTGTGTGTGTGTGTGTGTGCATGAAAGAAGCTGCAAAAGAGGGAACAACAGCTTGACAAGTGCTTCTCGTCTGTGCACAGAATGCTCGTGTCAGCAAATCCTTATCTTTCTGGCCCTCTCTGTTGCTGTCTCTCTGTCTGGATCTCTAACTCGTTTTCTTTTTCTTGGCAGACAGATCATCTCTTTGGGGAGCACTGGGGGTCTTTCTGGCTGCTCAGGCTGCCTTAAATAATTCAAAAGGCCTTGCTACCGTAATCAGCAAAAGAAAAGACCGCGATTTGGAGGAAAAAGATACGTAGAGCTTGTGATGGAGGCGTGTGAGAACGCGTGTGTGTGTGCTGAAGTGGAGTTTTTTAGGCAAACACAAGGGGTGGGAGCAGAAACGAGCAAAAAGCAGAGTTTTGTTGCTTAGCTGAGCCAAACTGAGCTGCTATTGTAGGCCAAAACCAGGAGTTAGCTTGTGTGTTGAGACGCGTGCATGTGAGCAACAAGGAGGCACAGAAGCAGAACCATGTAAGATGTGTCATTTTACTTTTACGTGCATTGTATAATCTGTTTCTGTGTAATGTGTGTGTGTGTGTGTGTGTTGCAGATGGCAAGCTCTATGTTTTTCTTTTTGTTTCTGTCTTTATTGCATCTCGAGCTGCCAAAGCATCAGCGAGAAGAGAGTGCTGCGGGCGAAACATTAAGATCGGCAAATGTTAAACAAATCATTAAATATGGTGAGAAAACATTAGAGAGAGAGAGAGAGAGAGAGAGAGAGAGAGAGAGAGAGAGACCACTGTGCTGAGGCAGCATATACTGATTCGTTTAGATGAAACAACCAACAACAGGATGAATAATTAAGGAGGGATTTGTTACAAACCTTTGGTTTGTGAGGCTCGTTGTTTGGGCTGACGTCGTCTTTGACGTCCAGCTTCGGTTTACAGTGAGGGCTCGTCATGGCGTCGCCCGAGTGTCCGAGTGCTCCTGCATGAGACGAAAAGCGTGAAAAGCCTTTTATTAAACATTCACAAATCCAAAACAAAGAAAAATAAACATTTGCACAGAGAAGCTTTGTCATCTAGGCAAAGTCTAAATCCATCAAACTGTTATGTCTAAACAAAACACGGAGTTGAGTTTTATATTTTAAACCAGAATAAAACTTTGCCTCTTCATAAAATGAGTGGAACTAAACACTTAGATTAAAGCAAACCTGTCCTAAAACAAGCAAACCGAAAAAACTCAGTTTTGTAGGAATTAATGGATTCACAAATTCATCCAAAAAGAGAAACAAGTGAAGATTAGCATCAAGAAAACTGTAGTGGGTAACATTATTAATAAAATATAACCAGTTTTTATATTATCAGCTTCTTTTCCTTAATACTACGCTTTATTTTTTATTTTTTCTGCAAAGTGCTGCAGCTGAAATGACGCCACCATGTTTGGTTTTTACAGACGACGCAGCTGCAAGTAAAGCACCTGCGTCACAAACACGCTACTGAGCGACTGGGCTTACGGAGGAAACACAACCAGAAACCTCCGTTTTTTAGCTTCAGACTCCTTTTCGTTCAATAATGTACGATTCAAATGGGAGTTTTCCTCTCCACTGTCGCTGCATGCTTGCTTAGTATGAGGATTGCTATAAAGACTCTGACACTAGTCAGTGACTCGATGCAACCTGCTGGGTTCCTTATATAGGAAAGTTTTTACTGATTGGTTTAATGAACTGACTTGAACTAGGATATTTACTGTGTGAAGTGTCTTGAGATGACTCTTGCTGTGATTTGGCGCTATATAAATAAACTGAATGTAATTATCTAAGGTCAAGATGTTGCACACGGGTTTAAAAGCAACACATCAGACTTTTTAAATGCGATTTTAAGAGTTCATGAATAAATATGTTTCCTGTTGTGTTGGAGAAACAGAGATCAGTTATAATTAGACAAACTAGTTGATTTCAGGGCAGTTACAAAGTGTTTTGGTGTCTTAAAATAACGCTGATCTTAAAGCAACACTAAAGAGTTTTAACTCTTTAAGTTATTGCTTCCAAACTGGTTTCAGTGATTCTTGACCCACAAACTTTAGCCACTTCACATCTATGGCCCTCTGCTGATAGTTTTGTGGCATGAGCAGGTGCACTAGTGGGAGGAGTCTACCTGCTTTATGGCAACAGATGTTTACTATGCCCATAGCTCGTGTAAAGGCTAGCCGAGCTTTTGTCAGTTCCACGACCATCAGTAAAAACCAGAATAATAATAAGAAGATGAAGAAGAGTAGGGATTTTTTTTGTTGGCATCATGGCGGAGCCTTAAGTAGAAGTAAGAGAGTAATGTCTTTGGAGGCAAAGCAAAGAGCTAAACCAGCAACATCAGCATAGCTACACTAGTTTGAGGAAGCTAAAGGAGGCTAAAAAAATCTGACTAATGGTGACCTGGCTTTGTTGCTGGACCGATTAGTAATGATATTTGTTTGTCCAACAGAGTGAACCTTTTTACTTTGTGGCTTATTTTAGCATCAGCTGGCTTGTGTTAGCATTGGCTTATTGTTAGCGGTAGCTACAGCAGGGTTGTAATTCCACTTTCAACCAGTAGGAGGAACACAAGGGAAACTTATTAAGTGTTACTTTAAAGGGACTTTACGGACTTTTGAATTTTTATGCTCGCCATTGCCCCCTCAGGCAAAAAGCGCAACGGCAGCTTCAATAGTAGGCTCGTGCACGAGGCGCGCATGCTGTACGTGCACACTCCTTAACGAAAATAACAGCTGAGACAGTCAGCTCCGTGTGTGTGTGTGTGTGTGGCCCGGAGGACAGAGGACAGGAGAACACGCAGTTAATTAATTAAATAATTTAGTTCTGTACCTTTCTCTTCAGCACAGCCGACAAAGGTTTATGATGGGTCAGTCCTCCTGCATGCTCAGATCATTCCCTTCCCTTGCTTGAAAAATTGTTCCAAAATGAAAGTTGAACCCACATCTTTTTTTTATCTGTGAATTCAATGTCGTTCGGCGAGTCTCAAATAAAAATTTGGGCATCTTACTATAAAGTTATACCATTAATGTAAAAAATAAACTCTAAATAAATTTTGTTCACATCTAGATTCGAACCTGGATCTTCTGCATAAAAGTCCATCATCTTTCTTGATGAGCTAAAGTGCCAGTAATATCTTTCGTATCTGTAGCTTTTATATCCTCGATGACAGCTGAAACAACGTTCAAAGAACGGTTCGGAGCGAAAATGGCTATTTTGTTGCTAATTTGCAGGAAATATCTAGAAGAAAGTAGCTAAGGGTCCTCAGAAATGTAGCTAGGTTCATCACTAGGCGTTAGGAACAGCGACAAAGTGGCACTGCCTCTCTCTCTGCTGCTAAAGCTACGGCTAGCAAACGCTACGGGCTATGCCTGAGCGTGAACACGCATGAAGCAGCCTGCTCGACCCGAGCATCTCTCTTTTTCTGTGATTTTACAGAAAAACAGGCAATCACAGTAAAAATGCCAGGGCTCATTCTACAGGACCAGGGCATTGCAGGAGAATGTATGAAGAAGAAATTTATTATTTCTATACATGTTTTGGCTGTCAAACTTCCATAATGCCCCTTTAAAGCTTCACAGCGTTCATGCAAATGTTCATTCACCACCATGAATTCTACATTACAAGTTTTTACAGAGTTATGCATTTCTATTGCAGCTGGAGATGCTGGAATTTCATCAATAAATGTGAAATTTATGACAAAAATCTATTTTACAAAGTGCCATTGCTGTAGGATGTTTGATATATAAAATGTTTATTTGGTGCCAACGCGAGTTACTCATTTGATGATAACTAACCTTCAAACTGAGGGTATTCAGAGAGGTGCAATATTTGTATTACTTTTCATATATAAAAAATCCACTTCAGTAGATTTGAACAATCATGTTAACAGAAATATTTGGAGTTATTAAATGTTTGCCTTTGGATGTTAGGTAGTTTTGTCCTTTTAAGTTTCAGGTTTAAGGCGACAAATCAGGATTTAAAGCAGGTGCAAAAACAAACTAACAATATTATTATCTTCTTTATAGGTTTTTCAGCTTTAAACAAGATGTACGTGAAGCCAAAATGTAATATAATGTCAAATGGAATCAGTTAAGGCACCTGAAGGTGGCATGTTGTAACCCTGTCCGTTTCCTGTGGCTGAGCCGCTGTTGCTCAACGGCTGAGTGTAGGAGACGTTGATGCTGGGGCTCTGGTAGTGTCCCTGCCTGCCACACACACACACACACACACACGCACGCACGCACGCACGCACACACACACACACACGGGGGAAATGTTATTAGATCCAGCAGACATGAATCAACTTAGACCCACAATGTAATGACAGGCTGTGAGAAGAAGCAGGTAACGGTGAACACAAGTCACATGACAGAGATGATATTTGGCAGTCTGTCACTGTCGTCGTCCTCCAACAGCTTTAGAAAAAAAGAGGCAACAACCGCTAAGCAGCATGTACATCTGAAGGCCGCAGCACATCCCCGATCAAACAAACAGCTCTAAAAGATTTAGGATGAGCACGTAGCATCAGAACAGGAAATAACCGACTCATCGCTGTTCCCGTCTTCTGATCCCCACCCCTCCCCTGTTTCTCCTCTCCTCCTCGCTCTTCTCATCCCACGAGTCATAATTTAACTAATTAAGGTGTGCTTTCGGAGAGGATCTTGTTATTTGTTGCCATGGCGACAGGAGAAATCAATGCCGCTCGCTCAGTCTCCCATCTCTATCTCAGGTGGCTCATCACATGGTGTTGCAAGTGACATCAGAGGGGCTTATCAGCAACCTGCTGAACACGAGTGTGTGTGTGTGTGTGTGTGTGTGTGTGTTAGAGCACTGCGGCCCTGACAGGCTGTGTTTGAAACCGTCACCTCCTGGATGAAGCAAACTGGGAGGGATTAAAGATACAATGAGGTGAAAAAAACACCTGAAAGGTGGTAAATAAATGTCTGAAAACCAATGTGAGGAAAGAAAACATGACAGGACACAAAGAGTAATTCTGCTGCAGAACGCAGAAGAGCGCCGTCCAGATTTACGCGTCTGTCAAATCCATCCTAACTGGCATCATTCACTCTCTCCACACTCATCATATAATGCCACATGTTGGAAGCGATACACATAGCCTGAGAGGAGGGATGGGTTTGGTAAACCTCCCCATAATCTCATCTCACAGATGTAATTAGTCATAGAGCACGGCTGATGATACATGTGTAATCCCGCTATGGGGGCTGAGGTGCACCGCGGAGCTCGGTGGCAAAGAAACACAAAATCCATGCTTATCTGTCCCCATTTCCTCTTAAAGGGTTGGAGGGGGGGCAGACTCCTTCTGCACTGCCTACATGTTCCCCAAAAAGCCTTGCATGAGTCAAGGTGCATGAAATAAATCGTGTGATTGTTGCGTCTTTTCAGTCA